CTAATGCAAGATTCACGAAAATACAAGATTCATGAATTTCACTCTCCGAAGCCGAAGCCGAAGCCGAAGCCGAAGCCGTAGCCGAGCGAGCGACGACGACGACGGCGCGAGGCTTGCTTTCTTCTTAACTCTTTAAGAGCTACAAGAAGAGCAATTATATATATACCCACCAAAAATCTTTTCCTCTTCCAATATGGGACAATGTCTCATTGTCAAGAGGGGAAAACTTAAAATTTTACTCAAAAAATTTCATTTTCCCTCCATTTCCCATTCACCCTCATTTTAAGACTATTTCATCTTAAAAAATAAAACCTCAACATTTTCTTTCATTTTTCATTCACACCCATTCATGAAATCTAACAATTCCTAACGGTGACCAACTGCCCATTAGTTTACTTTTCCTAAAAGAAACAAAACAAGGATTATAGTCACGTGACAACTATGTCACGAGTTCAAGCTGTGAAAATGGTCATTTGCATAAGTGCAAGTTATAATTGGATTCATTATGGTCCAGTTTTTCTTCACAGTGTCAAAATTTTTATTAAGAGGTGTTAAAATATATAAAAGTAAACATACCAGAAAATTAAGGGGAGTATACATATAAATTTTTTTTTTACCTACCTATATAATATATTGACACCCCTTCCTATAAGGTGGCTCCACCACTGTTTCTTCATATCATGTGCATAGTAAGAGCTTAGTGCATCAGTCTGTCCTTTTATGTTCTCTAATTTTTTTAAAATTTATGATCAGTTGATCTATTAATCAATTGAAAGAGAATCTGTATTTTATAAATCTCACATGTTACATGAAAATATAATTTATTTTCTAGAATGAGAGTGACATGCCAAAGAATGGGATATTATCAAATATCTTACTGAGTTTGAAGGTGGGAATACAAAGAAATGGGGAAATTATTCCATTATTTCAGCTTCAACTTGAAATTATTTGCAAAATGATATAAATTATTTGATATATTATTTCAGCTTAGCTTGACATAAAAAATTTTGAAGTTGAGAAACTGATTTGAGGAGTGTTTTAAATGAATCAATGATTTAATGAAAATCATGTTCAAAAGCAATTGAACTTTGAAATATTTTTTAATTGAACTGTTGTCTTTGTCTATTAGGATTATATTGTAGCTAGCTTATGTATTTGTTAATTGCTTACGGGATGTTTATGAATTTTTAATTACAATATGTAACCTTTGTTATGTACATCGCGTCTCTTTATGCTATGTACAGTTAACTGGTACTTAACGCCCGTCAGCTCGCTCCGTTAACTCTTAGCCCGTGTCACTAACCGTTCCATAAAAACTACACACACCTGGAATTGTTTAAGCAAAAAGTACACATTTTGGTAAAAATTCGGATGTTTATATGACATCTTTGAGTAATTAATAGCTTGGAGGATGAGTATTTGGGATGCACCTCCAAAGGAAGAAAGAATAATAAAGAATCTCATGTCCGTTGATGGAGCTAGACTTGCAATCCTGCGCTCGACTGCTCAATACATTCAACACCCGCCAATCTCTTCCAAAGGGGAAGCAACTCCATCTTGTTTTCCTCAAAAGGGGCATCCTCAACTCTGCTCTCACAATAGCCAATCGTCTTCTTCAGATGTACGCTAAGTGTGGACAAATGACCGATGCAAAATTACTGTTCGACGAAATGTCTCAGAGAAATTGCTTCACTTGGAATACCATGATTGAAGGGTACATGAAATGGGGAAATACAAACAACTCTCTGGACTTGTTTCGTTTGATGCCTTCCAAGAATGAATTTTCTTGGAATGTAGTCATTCTTGGCCTTGTCAAAGCTGAGGAGTTGGGTGTTGCTAGAAGACTTTTCCATGAAATGCCACGTAAGAACGAAATCGTTTGGAATTCACTCATTCATGGGTATGCGAAAACGGGGTTCCCTGGTGTGGCTTTATGCTTATTTAAGGAGTTTATAGAAGGGGATTTTCATGAAATGTGTGGTGCATCACGTATAGATTCCTTTGTTTTGGCAACTGCATTAGGGGCTTGTGCTGAAACGAGAGCTGTCGATTTGGGGAAGCAAATTCATGCTCGTACTATAGTCGATGAAGTTGAAGTTGATTCTGTGTTGGCAAGTTCTTTAGTTAACATGTATGGAAAGGGTGGTGATTTGGATAGCGCGAGTTACATTTTGAACAGAATGCAGAACCCTGATAACTTTTCCTTGTCAGCATTGATATCAGCATATTCAAACTGTGGTAGAATGGATGATGCTAGAAAGATCTTCAATCTTATAACTGATCCTTGTATTGTATTATGGAATTCCATGATAGCAGGGTACGTGGCAAGCGATAAAGTGTCAGAGGCATTATTGCTTTTTGAGGAGATACACAGAGAGGCTGTTAAAGCGGATTCCTCTACATTAGCTAGTGTATTGAATGCATGTGCTACTGCACATTCCCTTAAAAATTGTTTGCAAATGCATGCTTATGGTTGTAAGCTTGGACTGCTAGATGACCTTATCGTTGCTAGTGCTCTAGTTGACACATATGCTAAATGTGGACGTCCTGATGAAGCTGCCGGTGTTTTTAATGAACTCAAAATACATGACACAGTCTTGCTAAATTCTATGATTACCATTTATTTTAGTTGCAACAGAACTGAAGACGCGAGACAATTATTTGAGTCAATGCCCTATAAGAGCTTAATATCTTGGAATTCCATGTTAATTGGTCTTAGTCAAAATGGTTGTCCAGTTGAAGCACTGGATCTTTTCTGCAGGATGAATAGGATGGATTTTAGGATGGACAAATTTAGTTTTTCAAGTGTGATCAGTGCCTGTGCAAGCATTGCATCAGTTGAACTTGGTGAACAGATTTTTGCAAGAGCTGTTATCATCGGTATTGATTGGGATCAAATAATTTCTACCTCCTTAATTGATCTTTACTGCAAGTGTGGTTTTGTTACTGATGCCAGGAGGCTTTTTAACCAAATGATGAAATCCGACGAGGTTTCATGGAATTCTATGTTGATGGGTTATGCTACAAATGGTTATGGAAATGAAGCATTAAATCTATTCCACGAAATGAGAAGTGCGGGTGTTTTGCCAACAAATATCACATTTATTGGAGTCTTGTCTGCCTGTGATCATTGTGGTCTACTGGAAGAGGGAAAAAGGTGGTTTTATTCAATGAATTATGATTACCACATTGATCCAGGGATTGAACATTACGCCTGTATGGTAGATCTTTATGCACGAGTAGGTTGTCCTGAAGAAGCAGTAAACCTAATTGAAAAGATGCCATTTGAGGCAGATTCAAGCATGTGGTTATCCATTTTGAGAGGATGTGTAGCTCATGGTAATAAGATACTAGGAGAGCTTGTGGCCAAACGCATTATAGAGCTTGATCCTGAGAATTCAGGTGCTTTCGTGCAATTATCAAACATATTTGCTACATCTGAGGACTGGGAAAGATCTGCTTTTGTCCGGAGGCTGATGACAGAAAAGAAAATCTACAAGATTTCTGGTCGAAGTTGGAGTGATATGTAAGAAGCGCATAGGTTCAGGTCTCTGGATAGTTATTATAGTAGTGGGAGAAGTGCTGTGAGGTTAGTTTTTTATTTTTTAGCCACCCACTTTAATATCAGTTAAAACTATTAATTGGTTTCTTTCTGGCTTGTGCATCTTCTTGTAGCAATGTTTTTCTTCTAATCTTATTGCATTATTTTCTAAGCACATCCCATTAGAACTTAGAAGGGCTTTTCCGAGATTTTGCTGTTTGAATCTGAGATGCCTTGATTTAGCCCAGAAAAGACTTGCCGCTGTCAGCTTCCAGCTTTTTCGTTCAAGTTCGTAGAATATATTTGCTCATATGAATTGATATCTTTCTATAAGAATTGATCATATTACTATTTCAGGTTCTTGACATCTTGGAATTGTCTAGATGCATAGATGAGGAGTTCTTAGCTATTCCCATCACTAAGGAGATAAAAATGAGTTTCAGAAATTTGCTGGGGGACTCTATACGACTACAGTTGAGGTATCCTAGACTGTTTCAGTCATACACGTGGTTTGGCAGTTCTTAATGGTGTTTTCTCTGAACATTCTTTGTGTTTCTATCTGTCATCCATTATTGGCTTTGTTCGCCACGCTTTTATTCTAATACTGCCCGTGGCATCCAAAGTGCTACTTCACATTTTTTAGGCCAGAATTTTGCAAAAAGTTTAAAAAATAAATTTTAAAAATGAGAAGGGAGAAAAGTTTATGGTCTCGCAGTACTCATGGGCCTATACGACCAGAACGTTAGGAATACAGAGCTATTTATAGACTGTCTTTATACTTTCAACTTTGGTGTTCAAGCTAATATTCGCTTCTTTTCTGGTGTGGTGACAGATTGGCGTTGTGATCATGGGGATGATAAAAGCCTGGTCTTACCACGTATGGTAGCAGCAACTCAAGTAATTGTTGCTCCTATTCCCTTCAAAGGATGCTGACACTAAAGGGATCTTTGATGCTTGTGTTGCCATGGTTAAAAACTTGAATGTATCAGGTGTTCGTGCTGAGGCAGACTTAAGAGACAACTCTTAACTGGATGGAAATATTCACTGGTAGAATGAAGGGGGATTCCTCTTAAGATGATTGAACTTGGACAAAACAGCCTTGCAAACTACCAGGTAGGAGTTGTAGTTTCTGCCCTTTCTTTCTACTTGCCAGTTGTTTAAGAAAGTCAAATAAGACAGGAGAATAGAAATAATTCGTTTTTTGTTGTTAAATTTGTTATTTTTGGATACCGAACCTGATGCTATATATTTACTTATGCTTTGTAATAACTTTCCCAGGTAAGAGCTGCTCGACACTACAATGCAGCCAAAACAGATATTTGTGTGGCTAATCTAGTCGAACAAGTAAAAGATATCCTCGCCTCTGTCCAATAAAATCTATTTGCTGTTGGAAAACAAAAGCGAGATGCTTGTCTTCAGGTTGTAAGAACCTGGGATGAATTTGTGGAAGCACTGAACCAAAAAAGATATTGGTCTTGGCTCCTTGGTGGTTATGAGGTATGCATATTGGCTTGGATTATGTGATTCTGAGGATGCCAATTAATGTAATCCTGAATCATTAGAAAATATTTAGGGTGCCGAATCAAATCTAGAGTTTCCTTGAGATTCTTAGTCCCTGTTCAAACTTCAAAAGATACTACTAGTTTCCTAGCACTTTCATAATGTAGCATACAGAATAAATTGAAAATTATGAATGCAAATCTCACATATCTTTTCTTTGGATGAAATACAAATATTTCTGTAGCGATGAACTTGCAGTTTTTTGATCATATGATGCTTATCATACACACACTGGCAAAGATGCGCACGCGCACACACACACACACACATAATACAGTAAGACGGACATAGACGATTTCTGAGTTAATATATGATGCAGTATGCCACAACTGCTACAATGACAATTCATTACTGCTTGCTTTCATTTATAGCTTGATATATAAATCCACCACCTGTAAAGACCGAATCCATAAACTATTGCGTAAACCACCGATCTGACTGGGTAGAATTTATACCTGCAGATAGTCAACATTCAACAGTTAAGAAAATGTGTTACCTAGAATGAATTTCGATCGAATTGCAAAAAAGTGTGATCTCATAACTTAGAGGTCATGCTGCAGGGTAATTTGTATTTCTATTTACTCTTTTTCGGGGAGGATAGTTTTGTAGTTGTCAAATAACTGAATTTGGGCCTAATTTAACCCTCAAAGCTAGCTTATGAAGTGAAAATTGTCCGAGAATATACAAGGAGATAACCCATTCTCTCAACCAAAGATATTTAACACCTCCCTCACGCACAAGGCCCGAGTAAACCAAGAACATTGATTAGGTTTGGCTCTTATGTCATGTCAAGCAGATAAAAATGAGTTTAACGGGGAATATATCATGTTCGGGGCTAGATATTTGGAGCGCGAACAATATAACATAAATATCCAACATTGGATAAACCAAGAATAGGGATAAGTCTGATTTTGATATCATGATAAGAAAATGGATCAAGTTTAACTTAACCTTAGGGGTGGCAAATGGGTGGTCGGGTCAAGTATGGGCGGGTCAAAACGGGTAATACAAAAATTATCCAGTCCGACTCATATTTAATACGGATAGAAAATAGATTAACCGGCAGATAATATGGATATCCATATTATCCATGACTTTTTGAATATAATTATTTTTGGGAGAAATTCCCGATCTCCCAAACTTGAGGAATCCCCAATTTGAGTCTTTATAAATGTAAAAGTTAAACTCATTGGTTATTCATTGGATAACCATTTTTAAGTGGATAATATGGATCTTATCCATTTTTAACCCATTTTAAAAAGTTCATTATCATAACCCATTTTTTAATGGATAATATAGATGGATAACTATCTTTTAATCCATTTTGCCACACCTACTCAATCTCGAGAACTAACTTTTGGGGTTGAGTTAGGTTAATGTTCATTTTCTTACCGTATTTAATCAATAACACGTGTTATTACGTAATAGAGAAAAATATTGAGGAAAACACTACCAGACCACATCCATACTTCACTTCTAAGGATCTATCTCAAATGCATGGCATCAATTCTTTTCCCAGATTTGGTCCATGGTAAAAGTGATTGATCTTAAATTAATTATCTCATGATCTCTTTAATTTTTTTTCATCTCTCATAGTATCTTAGTTAACAGATCAAATTTGATCATGCCCTCAAACAATGACTCCGACAAGTTTAAAATTTTTATACTTTCATAAGTACCTCTAGAAGGCAAAAATAATACTTATCTTTTTTCAGAGAATACAAAACAGAAAGGGAGAACATATCACCTAGTAGAAGTGAAGGGTCCGGGAGATTTGTTGGTGAAGTCATTCACAGTGACAGGGGTGCACCAATGTGAGACACTACGATCGAAGAATTCCCAATCAGGTAAAATAACACCACATATAGCTAGCATTCCAAACAAGTAAGTTGCCACCATTTTGTAGAAAGACTGAGTGTATAGACCAATCAACACTATTATTGCTGCCAAGCAGCTTACCGATGTCCGAAAAATGGTCTCGTTATTCATCATGCTAAATACTTCAAGCTCCGCCCCTTCTTTCAAAAAAACAGCGCTAATGAGCAAGAAAACAGTTATGCTAAGGCGTGACGACTTTTCGTGCAACTGCTATGACCTTGCTTCTTGCCTTATCTTGCTTAGTAAAGCAACCTTTGGGACCTGTGTTTCTACTAAGTACTACTTTTAGCTCTGTCTTGAGTATTTCTCACTGCAGTTATTGCGTATGGCAAAGATTAAGAGGAGGAAGAAGATGATGATTTTTTTACAGAGGAGATAAGATATTGCTGTGGAACATACCGACTGATAGAATGGTGTTTATTGCTGGATATAGCTAAACGAGGGAGTTAGTTGAGACTGCATTTAAAGCAGATTAAGACTGCATTTCTGAGTTGATACATATGTACACTTCTTATCTTGCCAAATAAACTGGCAATTAATCTGAATTATCTTTTTCTTTTTTCTTATCTATAACAAAACAATTTGATCCTATTTTAGACAATTTCCCCAATACTTTACAATTTACATGGTATAGTTTGCAAGTTAAATATACAAAAATATATATATTTTTTCGACTATTATTTTGAGTGCGGCTATACAATATAATTTTCCCGAATTTAACTCACTTTGACAAATCTTCTTTTGTCACGGAATGTAGGGGCCAGATTCCTAAGGGACCAAGAAAATTCAATAATCATATCTAGAACTTTTCTTATCTTTCGCCTGAATTAAGCGAAAGACACTAAGACATATAATTAAAGAGTCCAAATTAAGTAGTTTGCAGATCTCATCTCTTCGTTGTAGAACATTATCTTCATTAGCATTACAACTATCACTTTTATGATATAAATTAATTAAGTTAGTTGCTAAATCGTCCACTTTTTTTTTTTTTTGTTTTTTTTGAGTAAGTTGTCCACTCTTTATGGCATCATTTCATGCTCTTCCTGATAATCAACTATGTAAGACTAATTGAATTGACTAACTACATTAGTAACTTAGTAATATAAGAGCTACCAATGAAATTCTCCAATTTGAGATCGTCTGTAACCTTTACTTGCAGTATAGATAGTAAGGAAAAATCCTCACATCTAAACACAAAATGGAACGAAATGAGATGTAGTATACCTGTAACGAGTAGATTTTGACTTTGTCAATTTAGAGTATTATGTTGTTCGCAGATCATTATTTACTAAAGTGATAATTAAGAATAGAAGAAAACACAGTCAGAAATAGGTAATTGATTCAAATGAACCGGAGTCCCAAAAGCCAAATGTTGCGGCTTTTAAGTACAATGGCTTATAGTGTTTTTTTTTTTCTTCTTTTCAAAAGTACTTTTTTTTCTCCTAACTTGAGGTGTTTGGCCAAGCTTTTTTGGGAAGAAAAAAGCGCTTTTGGGAAGAAGCAGAAGCAGTTTCTGAGAAACAGAAAAAAATAGCTTCTTCCTAAAAGCAAAAGCAGAAGCAGTTTTGACTTTTCTTCTTACCAAGTATACTCTTAACAAAATATAGTATATACCTAAATAACCGTTAAACCTAATACTTAGGATATTAATGTATACATATTTTTTATTATTTTTAGGATAGCTTTCTAATATATAGTGACTTTAGGGGTGAATGCTTTTATATTTGTTGAATGATTTTTAATATATTTAACTTATATTAAAAGAATTAAGTACTTTTAAATTTTATTTTCATATTTTACTTAAATAAAATGAAAAAATTTAATTAATGCCTGTAATAACAAAATTTTGATATTATTTATTTACTTATAATATTAACTATTAAGTAAATATATTCATGTATTTATTCGTAATTTGATACTTAAAGCACTTTCAGAAAAGCTTGGCAAAACACAAATTATTGCTCAAAAGTACTTTTCAGAGTGATTAGCCAAACACAAACTGCTTCTGTCCAAAAGTACTTTTTTCAAAAGCACTTTTGAAAAAAGCACTTCTCAAAATAAGCTGATTTCTCCAGCTTGGCCAAATAGGCTATTAGTTTTAGCTTGGGCCGTCAAATTTAGCCCAAGTCCAAATCACCCGTCTAACCCGCTCAAGGTTGGGTTGGTTATTGACCCGCCCGTTTATTGTACTCAGCTCATCTTGACTTAACTCATCTCAACTCATTTAAAGTTTTTTTACCTAGCTATACTATATTAGAAACTTATTTACCTATATTCTCTATGTATTGTAGTTTTTAATAAGTATCTAGGTTTTTCCTACAAGTTTGGTAGATTGCTCCCAACCCATTATTAGTACCTACAATTAAGGGATTCAATTACATCATTTTCTTTTTTTTTCCTCTCCTCTTCTCTCTCCTTCTTTTTTTTTTTTTTTTTTTTTTTACATCAGAATCGCTTAATCTACGCCCAGAATCTCCATCTTCTCTCTTTCCACCATTGTCGACAGCTTTATATTATTAAAAAACTATCAATTGCATCGTTCTTTTGTTGGGAGACTGGACAACACTAAAAATAAAAAAAAATATTCAGGAATTATATGATAACTGTATCATAATTGTATTTGAATTGTATCGGATACATCAATGCCTAAAATATAATTGCATCATATTTGTATTACAATTGTGTCTAACTTGTATATGGTATATTAATACCCAAAATAATACCTGATATAATAAATATATAATTATCATATATTTGTGATACAAACTGTGAAATTCTTCACGAACTCACAACTGCTTGTAACAATATACAATGAATATACAATTATCATATATTTGTAATACACTTTCTTTAACAATTATGATGCATATATAATTATACTACAATCGCGATACATTTCTGAAAAATTGTGATACAATTATGATCTTCATCTTTTTTAAGTTTCAATCACAACTCTACACTAAAAATATAATATAATCGTATTATAATTGTATTAGTATTATATCAAGTATTGTTTTGGGTATTGATGTATCATATACAAGTCACATACAATAAAGATTTTAGAAAGAAAGAAAACAAGATTCAAAACATACTCACAACTTGATTCTAGAGCAATATTCTGTATTTCGTATGTATTGTATCAATAAGAAAGAGAGATTTTGGATGATTAGTAAGAAAGAGAAAAATTAGGTTTGAAAAGCTTTGGAAAAGGAAAAGAATCAATAATTTTTGGGGGATAAGTATAAAAAAATTAAAAGAGATTTTGAGTGATTATTAAGAGAGAGAGAGAGAGAGAGAGAGAGAGAGAGAGAGAGAGAGAGAGAATATTTTTGAAATCCTTTGGAAAAGGAACAGAATATTAAATGTAGGTGTTATTGGAGATGTGAGGGTGAGTGTCATGTAACTGATAGGCTAAATTTAAGGGATCTTGAATTTTCTTTCTTTTTTATGATTTTGTATATAACTTGTAAATATAGATATACAAAGTGATTAATAAGGAACCTAAATAAAGGTGGTAAATATGTTTCTATTATTGTATAGCTAGGTAAAAATTCCTTTAAAGTTGGATTAATTTTTAGCCCAAATTAATTCATGAGTAACTTTGCCAAAATATCTTAGATTTTTTTTTTATTTGATATGTTATACATGACCATAACAAGAGACAAAAAGTCTTATTTAGTAATTATATAATTCATAAGAAAATAACACATATTAATTAAAGCTCGGTAAGAATTGGGCGGGTTGAGTTTTGACCCAAATTTTAGCCCATTTTGACCCAATCCATCTCAACTCAAGTAACTTTTGGACGTGTCATTTATTGGGGGAAGTGCATAGTTAGCCACTAATTAGAGATGTCTTTACTCTTTAGCCACTATTTAAAATGTATTTACTCTTTAACCACTGTTTAAAATATATTTACTCTTTTAGCCAGTGCTTAATAAATTTTTACCCGTCCGGACGAAAATACCCCTATGCTAGACATGGGTGCCGTGTAAATATTAAGTACATGGTGTCCTTAACTTCATGAATGTTGTGTAAATATTAAGGACAATGTGTCATGTATTTGCACCTTCCGTTGTTAAACTTTAAGACATTATGTCCTTAACTTCATATGTGCAGTATAAATGTTAAGGACATGGAGTCCTTAACTTCATGTGTGCAGTGTAAATGTTAAGGACATGTTGTCCTTAACTTTATGAGTGTTGTGTAAATATTAAGGACATGTTGTTTTTAACTTCATGAATGTTGTGTAAATATTAAGGACAAAGTGTCTTGTATACAGAGGCGGACCTACGTGAAAATGAGAGGGGTCATCGAAACCCTCTAGTCTTGGCAAAAATCGTGTATATATATTTGTATATACATCAAGGACCCCTCAAAATATTTTGATGTGCCCCCTCAAGTAGAAAAGCTGAACAACTCTGTTGGTTTAATAAATTGTATTATGTCCTCCCTCACTAGAAGATCTGGGTTCGAGGTCCAATACCAATTCTCTTTTTTCATTTTATTTGTTTTTCTCTTTGAATTCAACATAGTATAGTATCATGTATTTAGTGGTCAACTTATTTTATTTTTCTTTATCTTTTCTAAGTTAAATGAACAATAATTTAGTACTAGTACCTAAAAGGGGATAAAATATTCCATTAGCAAAAAGTCAATCACCTTCTTTATCCTTATATCTAAGTTTATAAGCATTATCACTTTCTTGACATGTATAAAATTAAGTAATTCACCAAAAATTTCCCTAAAATAGTAATTAAAAACACCAAAACCCCCTCTGCTTTCAAGGATCACTTCGGCAAAGTAGCAAACATCTATCGATTCAACAACAATGACTAAGACTCTGCTTGGATTGCTTAATAGACCTTTAATCTTGATCTTATTTGACTAAATTTTTTTTTATATTTTTGAACATCTTTTCGGTCACTAACTCATATTCATTAAGTTTTCAAGGAGTTAGTGCGCCAAATTTTGTCGTTATTAGCTGACATATCTATGTCAAAGATAGCGGTGCCCCCGTTGCGCTCAAATCCTAGGTCCGCCTCTGCCTGTATATGCACCTTCCGTTGTTAAACTTTAGAACATTATATCCTTAACTTCATATGTGTAGTGTAAATGTTAAGGACATAGCGTCTTTAACTTCATGTGTGCAGTGTAAATGTTAAGGACATAATGTCCTTAACTTCATGTGTGCAATGTAAATATTAAGAACATAGTGTCCTTAACTTTATGAGTGTTGTGTAAATATTAAGGACATGGTATCCTTAACTTTATGAATGTTGTGTAAATATTAAGGACAAAGTATCATGTATTTGCATCTTCGGTTGTTAAACTTTAGGATATCATGTCCTTAACTTCATATGTGCAGTGTAAATGTTAAGGACATGACATCCTTTACTTCATGTGTATAGTATAAATGTTAAGGACATCATGTCCTTAATATTTACACATCACTCATGAAGAAAGGGTAAAAATATCTTTTCGTATTAATTTTCATAGAGTAGTGACTATTTTTGCTCAGCATTAAAAATATTGAATAAAAACTAAATACCATGTTAAAAAGCGGCTATCCCGTGTCATTTCTACTCATTTATTGACTCAGCCCATTTTGATCCGCTCAAAATCGATCAAACCCGCCTATTTGACACTCCCCTAGTTTTAGCTTTTGACTTTGGAAAATCACTAACATTGATTTGGTACTTAAAAAATATAAATGAGAGACCAACGAAACCAAATCATCTCTGTAGGTCGAGTCTTCTTTTTAGTTGCTCTCTACATCATTACTTTTTTCATAAATATCTAATTTATCTTGCTATTTATTATTTTTGATCTTTGTATATTGATTTATCTCTTGATTTATATACTCATCATCATCTCGCTACTCCTACCGAGTACCCACACTCCACCATGCATAAAGTATAAAATTTACAATTACTCTCTTTCATTTATGTTATCATTGAATATTCAAAATCAGTCACATCTCTTTTATGATGTTCCATGCATTTAAATTTTACAAATAACTTAATTAGAATCTATTTTTACCTAGAGTGGTAATTAGTAATAAGTATGCCTTTTGCACTCTATATCGTACTTTTTTTTAGATATACCAGCATGAACTTATTAGACTTGCACCCAAAGGCATCCAATGAACTTCCATGTATCTCTAGGTTCTTGCTTTTAGAGCTACCTTTATTAAAATTAAACTCTGATGTCAATTTCAGAAATTTTTTAATGTCCAATATAGTAACAAAGCTTAATTATTAAAAATAAAGTTATATAGGTAATCGCACTAAAAGATACGAGAGGTACTTTGTAAAAGGTAGAAAGTTGGAAGCCGTATTAATTTACGTTAAATGACCAAATATATTCCTGTACTTTCGAAAATAGTCTAAAAATACCCCTCGTTATACTATTAGGATATATATACCCTTCCGTCATACTTTGGAAAAAATATACCCTTATGTTGGATGGAGCGCCACGTGTCAGCACCAGATAAAAATGACCCATTTTTTTTTACCCGATCCGTTTTAAAAAACTCACCACCCGACCCGTTTTAAAATTCAGTTTTTTTAAAGCATATATTTTGTAAAAATTAAATTTTTTTTTTTGTAAAAACTGAAAACAAAAGGAATTAGCAAAATATATTTTTTTAAAGTCTTTTCAGTTTTTTTAAAGTATTTTTTTTGTAAAAACAGAAAAAAATATTTTTTTAAAAATACTTTAAAAACTGAAAAATATATATTCTGTAAAAAGTGAAAAAAAAAAATTTGCAAAATATATATTTTTAAGTCTTTTCAGTTTTTTTTAAGTATTTATTTTTGTAAAAACTGAAAAAAAATATTTTTTTTAAAAACTGAAAAAAAAGAATCTCCTAAAGCAGTGGACTACAAATGCATTAGTTTTTAAAAAATAAAAATATTTTGTAATTTTTTTTTCCAGTTTTTACAAAAAAAATGCTTTAAAAAACTGAAAAATATATATATTTTGCAAATTTCTTTTTTTTTTTCCAGTTTTTACAGAATATATATTTTTCAGTTTTTAAAGCATTTTTTTAAAAAATATATTTTTTCCGTTTTCACAAAAATAATACTTTAAAAAAAACTGAAAAGACTTAAAAATATATATTTTACAATTTTTTTTCCAGTTTTTACAAAATATATGCTTTAAAAAAACTGAATTTTAAAACGGGTCGGGTGGTGAGTTTTTTAAAACGGATCGGGTAAAAAAAAAAAGAAATGAGTCGTTTTCATCTGGTACTGACACGTGGCACTCCATCCAAAATAAGGGTATATTTGTTCCAAAGTATGACGGGAAGGGTATATATAGCCCAATAGTATAACAAGGGGTATTTTTAGAGTATTTTTGAAAGTACAGGGGTATATTTGGCCTTACCGATTAATTTATCCCTTGATTCTGTCATTTTCCGTATTGTAACCATATAGTAAAAGATAATTAGTTTTAAAACTTCAGCTAAAAAATAAAACTGTTCCAAGATATGATAAATAATGCAAAAGTCTTCAAAAGTAACAAATTTCTATTNAGCATTCCACACTTTTTGCCACCAATCACTCAGGCCTTCCCCCTTATTTTAAATATATTAATATCATTTTCCATTCGTAATATTTATCTTTTAAGGAATTTTTACGTCTTTTATAGTCTAAATCATAAGAATATATGTTTAAATTATTATTTTTATCTTTTAAACGTTTCACTAAAGTACGTAATACTTTACCTATTAGAGCAGTAAGAACGAATTTAAAAAGAAAGTACAATATTTCAAACTGAATGTTTTCTTTTTATAAAATATCAACTATTTGAAACAAATTTATCAACTATTTGAAACTAATATTTTGCTAGTTCATGTACTTGAGACAGCAGAACTCCAACAGTAATTTGCAACTAGGGCAATAGAAAAGCAATAGAGCCCACTGCCCAATAATTAACTTTGAGAGGATCCCAGATCAGAACCTATATAAAAGACCCTTTAGATAAAAGCATGTAATAATTTAAACAAAGTACTTAAAAACAATAAAATATCATAATCACCTAGAGAATTTTTGTCTACTTCCTAACATGCCAACCTGTACACATAAATCGTACCACTCACTGCATTCATATAAATTGTCAAACCTTTTGGTTACCTTTAATCATAGCCCCCCTTAACCCTACTTTCTCAAATCTTTCTCCAAGAAAGAAAGAAAGAGAGATAAAAAAGGCTATGTGATATTGATTTCTTCATCATTAGTAAGAGAAAAGAAATTGAATTAAATTGAATTGAATTCAAGTTGTGAGAATGGGCAGCAGCTTTTGCTTTGTTGTTGTAGCAACAATATTTATTATGGCAAGATTAATATCAGCAACCCCAGTAGAGTTTCTTGCAAATCCACCAGTGGAAGTGGCATCTCCATTTTCAGAGATATCTCCAGATATTGCACCTCTTTTGCCTTCTCCTGGTGGGGTTGTACCTCCTGCTTCTTCTGTTTCTTCTGTGCCAACTATTCCTTCAAATCCTAGCAAAAATCCAGATGATGAAATGTTCCCTATTGGCCCTGATAATGCTGCTCTTGCACCTTCTGCTTTTTCTCCTGTTTCTTCTTCTGTTTGTCTTTCTCTAACAGTTTATCTGCACATTGCAGTGTTTGTAGTAGTTGGCTTATTTGTTAACACTATAAGAGTTTGAATTTTGTATAAGTTGCTTCAATATGATAGAATAAGTTCATTTATATGTTCTTGATTCCTAATCCTATTGTATTTAGTTTTGATTACTGTTGGAATGCATAGTGATAGTAATTCTTACTGTAAGACTACTTCTTTTTTGTGTTTTATTCAATTATAAAGGCTGAGTTAAGATAGTGTAAAAGAAATTAAAAAGGTGCATCTTTTTGTTAAGTAAATATTATAAGCTGGCGATGAGTGAGCTGAGGAGTGAAGATGGAGGAGGCAGTGCACATGGAGGGGCCAAATACTTTTGGTGTTCCAACTCTTTTAGCATGTGATGCCAATCAGTTATATTTTGGACTTTTGTATCAATGGGTGCACACTATGCCCAAAATTATATAGCTGTGTTTTTTGGTTCCCACTCAATGTTTTTTATGTGGTTCGATTAATCCACTTCGAGGTAAAACACTCCCTAGTAAACAAATTTCCATACATAGGTTCGAACTCAAGATCCAGAATTATATAATTAAACTATTGTAACATGACCTCCCTGCTCCTCCCTCCCCTGCGACACCCCAAAAACATTAGACTATACTGTTTTTTTCCCTTCCTCTTTGTCCTTTACATTCTTTTTCCCCTAGGTTGTATTTGGTGTAAAAAAGCTATTTTCAAAAAACTAGTGTAATCCGAAATAGGTTATATACATTCTCATTACGAGTAGGAGACATTCGGGCCTATCTAAATAGATACTATATGTTTACATATAAATCTCTACATTATCGTTACATTCAATTTAGGATTAGGAAATATGACCTGCTTTTTACCTCTCTATTGGGACCCTATTCACCTCTTTGAGTGAATCAAGAAATAGGTTTGATTGTCCATTTTTANCAAAAAAAAATACACATGTACACACATATATAGTGTTGTGATATTTTTAAAATAAATGGGTCCAAGTGTCATGCCTTAAACCAAGTGTCACTATGCATGGAAAGAAATATTGGAGTGGCAATTTGCAAAGGGAATTAAGGACAAGTGTATTGTGATGATCCAATATGTCATCTTTAATTTTAAACATTCACTTCTATGTTCTGAGACCTCAAATAGCACCTTTCAGCATTCCTCGACTTGCGTGCACAGTGCGTAAATTTTTTCGAAATATTTTTATGTGAAAAATAGATTAAAATGTGAAATGGAGCTTCAAAACTCATTTGAGTTGACTTTGGTCAACGTTTTGAGCAAATGGACCCGGATCAGTATTTTGACGATTCCGGTAGGTCCGTATCATAATTTGAGACTTGGGCGTATGCCCGAAATTTAATTTGAAGGTCCCTAACTTGAATTATTGCCATTTATTGAAAATTAGAAGTTTGAAAGCTTAAAGATTTCAAAATTTGACCACAGATTGACCTTTATCGATATCAGACTCAAATTGAGATTCCGAGAGTTGGAATAGCTCTGTTACGTCATTTATGACTTGTGCGCCTTGAAATCATTCCGGATTCATTTAATACCTTTTGGTACGGGTTTTGTAAAGTGAAAAATTTGAAATTCATAAGTTCGAATTGAGGTGTGAATTGTAATTTCAATATTATTTGACGTGATTTGAGACCCCGAGTAAGTTTGTATTATGTTACGGGATTTGTTAAAATATTCGTACGAGGTCCCGAGAGGTTCGGGTAAGTTTCAGACGAGTTTTAAATTATTTTATAAAATCGGGTGTTTGCCATTTTTATTCATTTTTGAGTTTTAAGTCTCAGATTTGGGCGATTCCAAAAGGGTTTCCACGACTTCGACTTGGGTAAGTGTTCTATATCCGAAAGTGATTATATTTCATAAATCCATATTTATATTCATCGTTTATTTCAGATTTAGATGGAAGAAATTGAAATTTTTGTAAAACTTTTCAAAAACGAAAATTAGGATTTGAAAGACAATCCGATGTCGGAATTCGATAATTTTAGTATGGTTGAACTCGTATCAGAACGGGTGTCCGGATTTCGTGATTTTTAGCCGGATTCTGAAAAGTGGTCCCCACATTAACTTTTGGTTGACTTTTCCGAAAATGACTTAAATTAAGTCTCTTTCGAATTATGAATAATTTTTAAAGCTCCAATTGAATTGTTGGCCAATAATTTGATAGGTTTGATTGGTTTGGAGACTAATTTGAAAGGAAAAGTTGTGGTAGAGTGATCACTTGAAATTGCGAAACAAGGTAAGTGTCGTGGTTAACCTTGACTTGAGGGAATAGAATCCTTGAATTATTTATTACGTGAATTTTATGTGTAACGATGTATAGGCGAGGTGACGAGTGCCTATTCGTTGTCAAATGAATTGTTTGCATATTTATCTGAAAATCATAAATTATTTTAAATCATGTATTAATTATGATATTAATTATTTCTTTCATATTCCTTGCCCAATATTATGTCTTGAATTCATGCTATAATTACTACATACTTATTTGACTTATGTGTCTTAATTGCTACTTGACATTTAGCATATTAAATATTAAATTTCCTATTTTCTCCCTGATTTCCACAATTAATTGCTACTTGTCATTACTTGTTTCCTAAATAATTCATAATTGTTGTATACCTTATTGCCTAATAATTTCTTATTAAATGTAGTATTTATTTGAGTAGTTTTACATTTAAGTATTGTTAAATTATATTGTTAGATTGGGTTGCACGCCGCAACGGATTTTATTTTAAGTTTATATTGTTGGAGCGGGTTGCACGCTGCAACGGAATTTAATTGAAAGATTATATTGTTGGATCGGGTTGCACGCCGCAACAGATTTTATTCTAAGTTTATAGTGTTGGAGCAGGTTGCAAGTCGCAACGGAAATTGATTGAAGGATTATATTGTGGGAACATGTTGCACGCCGCAACAGAATGATAGAAGAAATAATTGGTTATGACTGCTGAATTGACTTCAATTGTTGATATGATTTACATGTCTTACCTCTATTCATGTTGTTGTTGTTGTTGTTGTTGTTGTTGTTGTTGTTGTTGTTGTTGTTGTTGTTGTTGTTGTTGTTGTTGTTGTTGTTGTTGTTGTTGTTGTTATTATTATTATTATTATTATTATTATTATTATTATTATTATTGTTGTTGTTATTGTTGTTATTGTTATTATTATTGTTATTGTTATTGTTGTTATTGTTATTGTTGTTATTGTTGTTATTATTATTATTGTTGTTATTATTATTATTATTATTATTATTATTATTATTATTGTTATTGTTGTTATTATTGTTATTATTGTTATTATTATTATTATTATTATTATTATTATTATTATTGTTATTATTATTATTATTATTATTGCGTACAAGTTAATGTAAGCGACCTGTATTAGCCTCGTCACTACTTCGTCGAAGTTAGGCTCGGCACTTACAGAGTACATGGGGTCGGTTGTACTCATACTACACTCTGTACTTCTTGTGTAGATACTGGAGTTGGTCCCAGCGGTGTACGATAGATTTGCTCGGATTCAGCTATTAGAAGAGACTTGAGGTATAGCTGCACGACGTTCGCAGCTTTGAAGTCCCCTTCTACTTTATCTTAGTTGTGTGCTTTCTTTCAGACAATTTTATTTTATTCAGACCCTTGTTTGTATTATTCTAGAAGCTCGTGCATTTGTGACTCTAATTCTGAGATGGTATTTAGACATCGTTATTATTTTGGTTTGTTCATTTAAATTCAGATATTATTCCAGTTGTTGGTTTCTTTACTATTTAATTAAGATGAATTGTTAAAAATGGTTAAAATTATTCTAACGTTGGCTTGCCTAGCAAGTGAAAATGATAGGCGACATCACGGTCCCGAAGGTGGAAATTTCGGGTTGTGTCAAGTGTGGACACTTGTCTATATTTAAAACTATTTATAAGTGTCACGACCCGAAATTTTCACCTTCGGGACCGTGATGGCGCCTAACATTTCACTTGCTAGGCAAGCCAACGTTAGAATATAATTAGCCATTTTAACATAATTTTAAATTAATTAATAACAAAGAAAATAAATGCGGAAATAAAGTCTGAAATAAAGTGAATAATCCATAATAGACACGATATATAAATACCATCCCAGAATTTGGAGTCACAAGTGCACGAACTTCTAGAATAATACAAATAAAGGTCTGAATAAAGTTCAAGCTGTTTGAAATATAATACACGGCTGAGATAAGATAGAAGGGGACTTCAAAACTACGAACGTTGTGCAGTTATACCTCAAGTCTCCACTGGCAGCTGTGTCCGGGCAAATCTATAGTACGCCGTTGGGACCAACTCCGAAATCTGCACAAGAAGTGCAGAGTATAGTATCAGTACAATCGACTCCATATACTGGTAAGTGTAGAGCCTAACCTTGACGAAGTAGTGACGAGGCTAAGGCAGGTCACTTACATTAACCTGTACGCAGTAATAATAATAACAACAATAATAGAAATAAATCAGGTAACTCATTTTAACAGTTGAAGTCAACTCGACAGCCATAACCAATTATTGTTTCAATCAAATTCCGTTGCGGCGTGCAACCCGCCCCAACAATATAATTCCTCAATAAATTTCTGTTGCGGCACCCGCTCCAACAATGTAAACTTTAAATAAATCTATTGCGGCGTGCAACCCGATCCCCCAATATAAACTTTAAATAACTCTGTTGCGGCGTGCAACCCGATCCCCCAATATATTTATTTTCATTTACGTTGCGGCGTGCAACCCGATCCCCCCCATATATTTTAACAACTTTCTTAAATATAATAAATATACTCCAATAAATACCATGTTCAATGAGAAACTATTAAACATCAAGGCATACAATAATTATAATTTATTTATGAAACAAACAATGACAAGTAGCAATGAATTATCGAAATCACGAAGAAAATAGGCAGTTTAATTTTTAATATGCTAAATGTCAAGTAACAATTAAGACACATAAATCAAATAAGTATGTAACAATTATTGCAGGAATTCAAGAATTAGTATTTGACAAGGAATATGAGAGAAACAATTATTATAACAATTAATTCGTGTCTTAAAATAATTTAAGATATTTAAATAATTAAGCAAGCAATTAAATTGACAAAGTATAGGCATTCGTCACCTTGCCTATACATCGTTACACATAAAATTCACA